GCGGGAGCTGGGCAGCAGCCAAGGACAGTGTCCTGGGAGACTTTTTCTCATGCATGAACAAAGGTGCAGGGGGAGTTGGGCAGCAGCCAAGGACAGTGTCCTGGGAGGGAGAGCAGTGCTGGGAACTGAGCTCTTTTCAGGGAACAGGCTGTGCAGTAGCCGGGGAGGGAGCTGGACAAAAAAGCAGTGTCCTGGTGAGGAGGGGCTGGGCAGAAAGCAGCATTTGGGGGATTGAGATGGGCAGGGCAGCAGTGGTCCAATAGAACTGTGACTGAGTACTATTTGGGGCGTGCCAGAGTGTAAGGGAGGATGGACAGGGAAAGGGTTTGAGAAAAGCTCCCCATGCCTGCAGGTGCATTCCCAGTCCATTTCAGCAGCAGTGCTCACGCAAACGTACCGGCAGAGGGCAGAATTCCCCTGAGAGTTCAGAAAACAGTTTCCAGCTACCCAGATGGACATACAAATAAAAGACATTCTCACAAATTTTAGCAGGTCCCATGGTTTCTTGCATTCTTATTTTCCATTCTAGGGTTGGAACCCCTCTTATTTCTTGCAAGACCGTACGCACTATTTCCATGTAGATGTGAGACCACATTCTGTATTTGTCAGTTTATTATTAGTGGTAGCAGGACTGTGGCCCCATGGAGCCAGACATAGTGAGATCCCATCTCTGACTCACTTACTTCACAATACAAAATAGATAACAAAAAACAAAAGCAAAGAGATTAACTGAGGAAAATGGCCATAAAATACATGTGAAGTGCCCAGGGTAAATGCGGAGAAACAGCATGAAAATTCTGTATTTTTTAAATTATTGTGTTATTGTTTTAAGCTACAAAGTAACGCATGGAAGAACTGACTGGGTAGGGGGGAGAGTTAGCAAAATAAAAGCAGGCAGAAAGGGGAAAAAAGAAATTAGAGAGAGGCTGAGAACCACAATGGATAGGAACATGTGGACAGGCAGCCAAGGGGTATGTCTACACTAGTTCATTAGTTCGAGCTAGGTAGGGTAATGAGGACAAGCGGAGTTGCAAATGAAGCCCAGTATTTAAATATCCCAGGCTTCATCTGCATGTTCCCGGGCGCCGCCATTTTTAAATCCCCCTTAGTCCGAACTCCGTGCCCGTGGCAGCAGCCCAGCAAGGAGTGAGTTGAGGCTCAGTCTTGGATGTGCAGCACTGAAATCAGAGGCTCTCTTAAAACAAAACAGCAAATTAAATAAACAGGAGAGTTCTTACAAAGTGCCCACATCATGCATAGTGAGATTGTCCTTGAGGCTCTCTGGTCTGGATTAGAGAAGTTAAATATCGGTCAATTGAATAATCAGTTAACCTCATGAATTCTTATGAGTTACTCGACTATTCTGTGCTCCCCGAGGTAGGGCCAGCAGCCCGTGCAATCCAGCCTCACTCCAGAGGAGCCCTTTTCCACTCTGCGCTGCTACCTCTGTATCAGAGGCAGCAGCATGGGGTGCCCTGTGGGATCAGGTCTGCGAGGAGAGCCAGGTTAAAAACCAGCTCCCCTCATGGACTGGCTGCTTGTCGCCCCACACTGTTGCCTCTGATACAGAAGCAGCAGCATAGAGTGGCAGCAGCCCCTGTCTGGGGGGGGGCTGGGGGGGGGGGTGTCTGAGCTCCCGGACCGGTTTGAGCCAGAACTGAGCTGGGCTGCCTCCCCGCCTGGCTCCTCATTCGCTTTCAATGCAGAGCTGCAGCAGGGGTAGGCCCTGGATCCGGTGCAATCCGGGACGGAGCCAGGCTGCTGGCCAGCCTGCTAAAAAATTTACTGGCAGGGGGTGGAGGCAAATGTATGTAGCCTATAGCATTAACCTAGAAGCTCTTGCTTATCAGTTATACTATTATATCCCTAGTCTGGATTCCAATGTGCAGCTATGCTGGCTCTTTACAACCAGATTGTGGCTTTTCCCAGCCCTCTGACTTTCTGGGGACGGAGCCAGGCTGCTGGCCAGCCTGCTAAAAAATTTACTGGCAGGGGGTGGAGGCAAATGTATGTAGCCTATAGCATTAACCTAGAAGCTCTTGCTTATCAGTTATACTATTATATCCCTAGTCTGGATTCCAATGTGCAGCTATGCTGGCTCTTTACAACCAGATTGTGGCTTTTCCCAGCCCTCTGACTTTCTGATCTCTGTTACCCTGATACTGTTCAATGTACTGTGAGGAAAAAGTTTGGGAGGCAGTTGGAGGGGTGGAGAGTAGGAATTATTTGACATTCATGGAAGAGATCCCGGGAGAGATGAGCAGCTCAGAGACAGAATAGCAAGGAATGGTGGAGGAAGGAGTGTGTTTTCTTGAAAGGAAAAAGGGTATGAAACTGCAGTGGTTGAGATCATGAGGAGGGAACTGGGCCTGTGGGGGGTGGGGGGAGTGGAAAAATGCTGCGATAGCATATTCCAGCATCTTCTCTCAGACCACACTCCCACATTCCCAGTCAGTGTCTCTAACAAGGAAGAGATGGCACAGAATATTACATTTTCTAGTACTATTGCAAACCAGCCTATCTATCTCTTTGTAAATCTGCAGTAATAAATGGGTTATATCTAATAGTGTAGAGTTATTGTGGTGGTTTGGTTGTTTTATTGTGCAAATAACATTATTTATTGTAGGATAATGATGTTTTTGCTTTTCAATTGTACTAGTCCTTGGTAATATTCCTACAATAATCCACTTATTCTGCCTTTGCAAGGAACTAGCTGACTTTCTTTTCCCCATACAGCTTGCTGAAATATATCTTCTTGAAATTCAGTAGTGTTTCAATACCTTCATAATTTTAGCTCAGGCATTTTCATTTTGTTCTTTAGTCCTGCTGTCCTTTAGGCTTATTTGCACACAGAATCTGTGGCTTCTGGCAAGTTCATTAATGCCAGACAAATGTAACTTTTTAATGAATCTTCAGAAAATTTGTTTGGGTCAGTTCTAATTTATTTCAACTACAGTAGTGATTTTCACCCTGTGATCTCAAGCATCTAAGAGGTCTATGAAAGGTTCTCATTATTAAAGAGCAGCATTTTTCAGCCTGTCTTTTATTCACACAACATTTGGTATTATTTTTCCTCAGAAAAATTCATTGTCATATTTAATTGCTGAATCATGCTTAGTTGCCATGATATTATTCAACACCGCAGACAAATTACAAGGATATGTAATTGTAAAAATATAAAACAAAACACTCCTCACTTGCAACCATTATATAACTAACAATAACTAAATTCTCTATTTATTTCAATGGTCATTTGAACACAATTAGTTGGGGTAGCCTATAAACTATCTATTTTTTATATACTTCATTTTAATCAGATGCTTAAAATATATATTATGATAGACAGCAAATTTTTGTACTGATTTTATTTTTAAAAATCTTAGTCAATGCACTTCAGGAACTAAGTGAAATCTTATTATTTACAAAATCTATTATTCTGAGGTATACAAAAAAACACTGTCAAATAGTAACCACTATAGTTTTGAGAAAAGTTTATTTATCTTAAGACCAATTATATGTGTGGATAGGCATAATATACTCACCAATCTTTAACAAGGACTCTGGGGGTGTGTCTAAACTACATGGCTCCATCGATGGCTGATGGAGCAAAGGGAAATGAAGCCACGATTTAAATAATGGTAGATAAGCAAGAGCTTGTAGGCCTACATCACCTCCCCAAAGCAGTCATGACCAGCTACAACAGAACACACAAGGTGTAAAAAAGAATATTACTGCACCTCATGGGACTCTAGAGTTTTTTTCAGACACCAGACTGAGCAACTTCTCCTTATCCTCACCACAGCAGCAACAAAGGGTATATCTGACGACGGAGGCATGTAGATTAGGCTGCCGGCAGGGGAGCTTCCAGACTGCCCCGATCTGCCGACAAACAGCTGATTGGCAGAGCGGGGCAGCCATTTAAATTTAAATGAAACCGCGATTATTTAAATCGCGGCTTCATTTCCCTTTGCCGAACAAACAAATCTACATGGCTCCGTTGAGGGAGCCATGTAGTCTAGATGTACCCTGGTAGTTAAAATGGCACTTCAGTTCCTACGCTCATGAAATCTGAAAAATTTATGAGCAGAACTGAGCAATTATTTGGTTTGGAAATGTCGCGTAATTTAATTTAGGAATATGAAGACTCAGCAAATATAACTCTTCCAGCGTTCCTTTAAGCCACCTAAATGTAAAGACTTTTGATTTGGGGTCAGTCTTCGCTCTTCTTTAGAATTCCGAGAGTTGAAGGGTCAATCATCTATTAAGCAGCACATCCTGTAAGCTCCTATTAGCCTTTGCCTTCCCTTCAAGGTCTTTTTATCAGCCAAAAGCAGGAAAGAAACCTCAATAGCGCAGTGTGTAAAAAGTAGGTGTTTGTGGGGAGCTTTCTGTTGCTTTTTTTTCTTGTAATAGTTCACACGTAAATCAATTGCAGTTGTTTAGAGGGAAACAGGTGTATTCATGATATGTCCTTGATTGACATAGTAAATGAAGGGCATAGGACAGTGGACTTGAAATCAGGGGTTGGGCTTCAAGTCCATATTTTGCCACTGGTATATAGTGTGATGATGGGCATGACACTTCACTTCTATGTGCTTCAGTTTCCCCATCTGTAAATGCTTTGGGATGTTCAGATGAAAATTACAGTTTCAGAGCTATTATTTTATATCTAATATTATAAAAGGATTTTGAAGAAAGGCTGAAAAAGTGCTGTTGTTCAAGTGAACAAAGCACTAGCTGCTGTTTTATTGGGATTCTTCTCTTCATTATTGCTACATGAAAACCAGGTTAGGTACTGAGCCCCCCCCCCCAAAAACCCCAAACCCCAAACACTAAAAACCTGTCCTGGGAACCTCTGGAAAAGTGGGCAATTCTGACTGATGATGATTGTCTGATTTTTATGTATGTCTTGTAATCTGTGCCTTACAATAGAATATGAGTATTAATGTGAATATGTTGGCTGAGCAGATAATCTGATACATTTTCCCCCTCTTCAAAAGCACACAAAAGAGGTGGGAAGACCCCAGAGCCCTTTGAAAGAGACAAGACTGGAATCATGGAGTCAGCCCCAGGTAGGTAGGAACTTCATTATTGATAAGTTTCTCAGTTTGCCCCTCTCCCCAAAATATAGTAGTGTTCATCTCTGTGAGTCTTAAGAGTCTCAGTTTGAATCTTCAAAGAAGCATTGTAATGGGTAGCTCTCTGGTACATAGCATCATGTGGCATAAAATACATTTGCTTTAGGCTCTTCTATGAGAGATTTGTGGTTAATATGGCTGTTAGTGCTGTGTTATTAGGCTAAGCCCTCTTAAGATCTGCTTCTTTTTTTTCTCATGCACGCTTCATACCCTAGAAAAAAAATGTAAGGATTACCTGTCCTTTAGCTCATGTCACTCATGGACTTTGTACCTGACACACATCATTATAATGGGGGCTGAAATAAGCCAGTGACAAAATAGAAATTTAAAATTAAATCAGTATCCAAATGGTGTCTTAGGAAATTATGAACAGCTCATTAACTTCTGGGACAGAATTCTATTTAAGCTTACAGAGTGACAGCTTAAAGAGAAGGCTCATGAATTTGACATATTAAATCTTAAGGTCCAACAATTTGACCCACCGGAAAAGATATGGTGCTTATTCAAATCAGAAGACAGGGAGATAGATTAATGGGAACATTGATATGCAACATTTATCTTCAGGAATACACAATGCTTTCTAGGATGAAAGGATGCTATTTGGCATATTTACTTTGGCAAATCACTTATTACTAATTTCTGGATTATACTAAATTTAGGAATTTAGAGCTGTTTCCTTATTTGTCTCTTACATATCTATGTTGCTTTCATTTGTGTATAAATACCAGCAGATATACCCGGCATTGCTTGGGTCTTTAATGGAAATTTTTCTTTTTTAAAATAAATGAAGAATGTACATGCTTTATTTCAATTATTGCATTTTTTTTTATATGAAGAAAAATGATCTCTGGAGTGAGGGTTCGGGGGTAAGGACAGGCAGGGGTTGAGTGGCTAATGCAGAGGGTTGGATGGAATGGGGGAGCTCAAGGCAAGGAGTGGGTACCTCCGGGCAGGGAAAAGGAGAGGAGGGTACAGAAGTCAAGGTAGGTGGAAGGTGCAGGACTCAGTGTAGGGGGCTCTGGACAGGGGGCTGGAAGGTTGGAGAGGGGCTTACTGGGGCTTCCTGTGGTGGTGAAGAGTGGATCTGCTCTGATGGCAGCTCCTCCCTTGCGGCTGTGGCAGTTCTCACCAGCCAGTGGCTCCTTTAGTCTCCATGGGCTGCTCCCAGCTTTCAGGGCCAAAGGTAGGTGGAAGGTGCAGGACTCAGTGTAGGGGGCTCTGGACAGGGGGCTGGAAGGTTGGAGAGGGGCTTACTGGGGCTTCCTGTGGTGGTGAAGAGTGGATCTGCTCTGATGGCAGCTCCTCCCTTGCGGCTGTGGCAGTTCTCACCAGCCAGTGGCTCCTTTAGTCTCCATGGGCTGCTCCCAGCTTTCAGGGCCACCCTGTACCCCTAGTTGCCCTTCCCCCTGCAGCTTGCAGTCTGTCAGGGGGCAGGCTCCAGAGGTGTCCCTCTCTCCAATGGCCCCTCTGCAGTCTGCAGGCTGTCTGGGGGGCAGGCTCTGGGGGCTGCTCCTTCTCCAGCACCCATCCTGCCCACAGCCTGCAGGCTCTCCATGGGGGGTGGGGTAGGCTCTGGGTTTGGGGCAGAGGGGCTCCTTACCCAGATGGGAGGCAGGCAAGATGGTGGAGTCCCAGGCTACTCACTTTGTGCTGAAGCTTCCCCCAGTGGCCACTCTCAGTTTTATCACTTCCCTGCTCTCTGTGCCCCTCCCTTTCACATTCCTCCTCTTTCTGCCCCCTCCCATTCCATGTTATGGGAAATAGTCTAATACCGGGCACTTCCCATTTTCCATGCTCCTGGCCTCAGGGTAAGAAAAACCTGCACACCAAATGTGGTGGTCCTAGTTCTTATGGGTTAGGAGGAGTTCTTGCACAAATGGAATCATGGATGCCGGCTGTGCCAGCACTTAGGACGTGATTTTAAAAAGGAGCTACATGATGGAGCCCAAGACATTTCAGGGTCACAGTTACTGCAAGTGCATGTAGAAAATTCCCACAGAAACTCACAATTGCAACTGAACATCCACTTGTTCATTTTCTGGTTTGTGTGAACAGTTGCTGTAAGTGCATGTTTATTTACATAGCGCATGATGCTGACTGTTCATGCATCTCTAGGCTTGCTCTTTTCAAATCAGCATCTTATTATCTGAAGACTTGATTACAGTCTGATGGACATGGGATTGAATTGCTGCTGATTTTGAATGATACGCTCTTGAACTGTGCTCCTATGTATATAGAGATCCCTGTTGCTACGTAAAACATTTGCAAATGAAATGTAAGTAAAAGCCTTCAATCATTAGCTCTAAAGCACAGGATGCTAGGACTTAAACTAAAAGAATAGTCACTAACAGAAAGGATAACCTTTACCAGGAGTAACTGTATGTTGCATTCATGCTGCAAGGGATTTTTAACATACTGTGTTTGCCTTTCCATATCAACCTCTCTCCGAGTAGAAAGAAATCCTTATTTTACTTAATATGTGCTTATGTGACTGAATATCTTTAAAAAATGCAATGTTTTGAGCACTCATCATACTTAGTTATTTAGAAAACAAAAATAAATCAGATACAATTTTTATGATTTTTTTGTTCGAATGGAAGAAATGTGACCAACAAAATGTAAACCACTAAGACTATAATTGTAGCAGAAAATTAAATTAGTTGCTAATTCTTTCATGGATGTAATTCTAGCTATAGCAAATCCCTTCTTAGACATTATGTATGAAGTGAGTGAAAATTCATGGTACAGATAAAGGCTTTGTCTGTTTTATGAGCAATGGGCAAATGGTACAAATGGTTCCCATAAAGCAATTTGGTTCCCAACTATAAAAGAAGGCGGAATATGTTTAAAATTGAGTGCAAAGCACCATAGGAAGAAGCAACTCTTATTTATAAGAATATGGTATTTTACATGGAGATGGATGAGCATCCCTTTTCTAAAAGGGACACTCAACAATTTTCTTGGAATTCCTAGAAAAAATTCACTGAGTTATGTGGGCTGTTTATTGAGAATTCAAAGTCACTTAGTAGCAGTTTGCATGTTATTAACAGAAGGAAATAAGCCCTACAGCCTGTAGCACATCTCCAGTGTTCAGAGGCCTATCTGATCACATGCACATTCACTGAAGCAAACACTATCACATCTGTGGCTTGACGACAGGAGGCGGAGACACAGACAGATCTCGGTGTTTGGAGAATTTTAGAATGAAGAATGTAGTTTTGCATTAAATTAAGTGTTCTTGTGGGGGTGGCATATAGAACGTAGTTTTGCATTAAATTAAGTGTTCTTGTGGGGGTGGTTCTTTGATTCTAATTCCATTGTGGTTTTGGTCCTCCCCAAACAAATGCCAACCAGTTATAGCAGTTATAAGAAGACTGATGAGCCAGTCAGTTTCAAATTCAATTGTCCTCTTCCAGGAAAATTGAAGCCCAGTAATACTAAAGATAGGGAAATGAGCCCTGCCAACGCAATGGACTTGCAAGTCCAAATGCACAGTCAGAATCCTTTATCTCCTCTATGACTTGTTGTTGTCACTATGGGTATGTCTACACTACCACCCTAGTTCGAACTAGGGTGGTAGTGTAGACATACCCATAGTGACAACAACAAGTCATAGAGGAGATAAAGGATTCTGACTGTGCATTTGGACTTGCAAGTCCATGGCGTTGGCAGGGCTCATTTCCCTATCTTTAGTATTACTGGGCTTCAATTTTCCTGGAAGAGGACAATTGAATTTGAAACTGACTGGCTCATCAGTCTTCTTATAACTGCTATAACTGGTTGGCATTTGTTTGGGGAGGACCAAAACCACAATGAAATTAGAATCAAAGAACCACCCCCACAAGAACACTTAATTTAATGCAAAACTACATTCTTCATTCTAACTAGTGATCTGAAACTGAACTTTCCCATGAGAAACTTAAAACATATACAACATCAGGGAATGATTATGTATTGTTGTCCGGTAAATTTTAGACACCATTTTTGCATATAAACTGAGCACCAGGAGAAGGATACATGATAATAGCTGCCAAATGAGTTTGTCATCAGTTTACACACTGTATTGAAATGTTGAATACCATGTATTATTGTAGTTACGTTTTCTCGCTGCACTGCCTGATTAAACATTTGGCTGATAAACTGTCAAGGTTGTTCGAAATTGTGGCAACTGCAATTAAGAATACATGCATAGCCTAGATTTCTGAGGGTCAGTTAGAAACAGGGTAATTTAAAGTCAAACCAAGCTCTAGTGTTGGGTTTTCTCAGTTATAGTGTTTATGTCAGTGTCACAGATTCAGAGATCAAGGTAGAGAAAGAATTAACCTAGAGCAAGAAAGAAAAATGCTAAAAGTTCAGTTTAAGAGGAAACAAAATGAGAACAATGCCGGAAGTTGACTAGGTAACGTTTGCAGTGGTGGGCACATGCCAGCTTTGGCCACTAAAGCCAGTAGGATAAATCAATTTCATATTTCTTTTGTGCATTATCAAGCTTTCCTCTGTTCACATACCTTGCACCGTCCTTATCTAAATTACACAAGAAATTTCAGAGATGGTTGGCAGCATTACGTGAGAATGGCAGTTGCAATTCAGAGATGGTTGGCAGCATTACATGAGAATGCTGTTTTTGGCAGCATTACGTGAGAATGGCAGTTGCATCTTTATTTTTATTATGTTTTAAAACACCTATCCTAACAGCTGTAAGCACTTCATTCCTTTAAAACATAAGCAAAGATTTGTCTGGTCAAATTCCCAGGTGACAAATACAGCATATAACTGCTCTTAAACCGATCATACTCTATTCCTCAGCCCATATTCTTAACCAAAATCCAGAAAATGATGAACTCGGAGGGCAACAACAGCCTTTCTTTAGGAAGATTAAATTTCCAGTGATTAAATCCTCACTTCTAATGTTTCCAAGCTGGCATGTACCTCAG